GATGATTAATGGATGTCTGTGGCTGTTTCTCTTCAATTTGAGTGGTGCCACATCAGCAAATGAAGGTCTTGAAAGCTTTCTCTTTTCCATGAGTAAGGAAGGGTTTATTCAGATATAGCAAAAGATTTATTTCAAGGCAATGGCTTATGAAGTTGTAGAGGCTTGCAAGTCCCAAATCAGTGTGGATCAGAGGCTTCTCCTGAGTCATGTAGTTAGGGAGTCTGATGAGCCCATATCGACAGGTGCGATGGAAGGCTGCTGGCTCATGGGGTTGCAGGAGCTGGTGAATCCCAAATCTGAAGGTCAGATGGCAGGCTCTGGCTCACATCCTAGAAACTGGATGTCACTGGATGATGAATTGGATGCAGAATCTAGAGAGAGTGAGTTTTGCCAGAACACTCACATATAATGTTTACATGCCACACCCTCAAGGAAGCTCCCCTTTGAATTGATTGGCTGCTCACATCAGATCACAAAATGGAGGAGGATTACCTAGTATCCACCAAACTACTGAGAATCATGGCGTAGTTGACTTACAAAGTTAACCGTCATACCAAGTTTGACATCTTTTTCCATCCTTGTTTCCTGCCTTTCCTTACCCAGTGATTGGCTGGTAAGTGTTTAATAGCCAATTCTCTGGAGAGAAAACAAAGCCCCCATTTGCAGTGTTTGCTGATTTCTGTGGTATAAATGTTCTCACCATGGCCAGGGTCAGTCTGTGGCTGTTTTGTGCTAGAACAGCAGAGGTGAATATTTGCAACAGAGATTATATGGGCTACAAAGCCTATACAGTCTGCCTTTTTACAAAGTTTCCCAGCCTCTGCTATGGTGTCTCCCAAACAATAAAAAATTAGTAGGGTAGGGTAATTCTTTACCAGTGTTCACTCCTTCCAGTCATCAGGATTCAGAGAAGGAGTAGGTAGTTCAAGGGGGAAGTGTGTGAGATCATCAAGGTTCTTGAGGCCATTTTATGGATTTAGCCTCTTTTTCTGAGGAGGTGGAGGAGGGATAATGATCTAACTTATGTTTTAAAAGGAAAATTTTGCCTGGTATTTTGAGAATAGACCATAGAATGGTAGCAGTAATATCATTTGTGGCGGGGGCAGGGTGGTTGCATTGTTATAATCCAGGTAAGAGTTGGTCTTTCCTTGGATCAGGGTGGAATCTACCTTAAAGTGAAATGAGTTCTGATTTTGGATGCATTTTGAAGATAGAACCAATAGGATTTGCTGATGGAAAAAGAGGAGTCAAAGACAAGTCCAAGGAGTAGTACCAAAAGGATGCTTTAGACTACAGCTAGAGTTGCTGAGGGATTCTGGTGGCAAATTGGGACTTCAACAATTTCTGTAAAACAATTTTTATACCACTTCCTCCTATCCATATATATTCCATAAGGAAAAATTCTTTGTTTAATATAAGTTTGTTTAATATAAGTTTCCCTTTACTTTTAAGAAAAACCAAACTCACTGCCGTTGACTCAGTTCTGACTCATAGTGACCCCAATTGGGTTTCTGAGGCAGTAAATCTTTATGGTCGTAGATTGCCCCATCTTCCTTACAAGGAGTGACTTGTGGGTTTGAACCGCAACCTTCTGGTTAGCAGTCAAATGCCTTAGGCACTGTGCCACCAGAGTTCCTAGCTTTTAAGGAATAAATTCTAAAATTAATCTAGAAAACATATTAATATGTCTAAAATATGACATTTTTTAAGAAAGGTTGTTATGTTGTTGTTAAGTGCTGTCGAGTCGTTTCCGACTCATAGCGACCCCACGCACAGCAGAACGAAACACTGCCCGATCCCGCACCAGCCCCACAATCCCTGCTATACTCGAGCCCATCATCGCAGCCA